TACACGTCAGTAATGCCTTCTGCTTAGGAAATAGCCAAAATGCGAGCCGCTCGACGTCTGTGGGCTGACCTTATCAAGGAACGCTTCAGTCCAAAGAGCAGCAAATCGCTTATGCTCCGCACTCACTCGCAAACCAGCGGATGGTCTCTGACTGAACAGGTAGGAGCGGATCGCCTCAGTAAACCTACTGACTGAAATTTTGATTTGCAGGATCCATACAATAACATTATTCGAACCACTATCGAAGCCATGGCGTCAGTGTTTGGTGGAACTCAATCGCTGCACACCAACTCCTTCGACGAGGCCCTCGGTCTGCCCACGAAATTCTCGGCTCGAATTGCTCGAAACACACAGATCATCATCCAAGAAGAGAGCGGTATTTGCAAGGTTAGCGCCACCATTTGGGTTGAATGCAGCTTCCGGATATCCCACGCAGTGGGTGCGCACAAAATACACCGGTGCAGGCACTCATGCGCAATTTTTCACTAGTCAGTCAAGGCAAAACCCAGGCAGAAGTTGGGTCAACGATTTCCTTCGGTCTGTAGGATAGATTTTAGAGGACAATCACAGATGTGGCACTCCCGTGCATGGAAATGGCCGACAAGGGCGCTAGGCCTTGCAAAGTAAGCTGCAGCAGCTGCAATTTTTTCAGCAGGCTGTTGTCTGGCGCCCTCTCATCTGTTGCGCTCTCTCGCCTCATACTCTCCTCTCCGCGCTTAGTCTCTCATTGCCCTTAGCACAGCCGATTAGGAAGGTGAGTGAGCCCTTAACCTAAGCGTTTTCGACGGATTCTTTTCCTTTTTTCTTTACTGCCGGCCCATTTCGCACCAATACATTCACATTCGTGTGCAAGAACCACACCAGTTTGATCCTGGAACATGCCTTTAAGGTCTAGTTTTCAGGTCGCGGATCCTTGGGGAGGTTCGTACATGATGGAGTCGCTGACAGATGAAATCTATGATAAGGCGCGAAAGGTATCTTTTTTCTGTTCTATTTCACTTATTTATCTAACTTTTCTTCAAAAGTTGTTGACTTTAGCTACCATTTACCACACATACTTTACGAAAAATATGCCGAAATTCCATACCATGTTTATTCGTAGCGTGCTGGATGTTCGCATAGTCAAAAATAGGATATCGATTGGCTTACTCACGTGACCGTTCCTGAATGACCATCTGCAATCGTTTGACTGATCGATACAGTATTTCATGTGAAACCCATTTTTACTAAAAGTGCATCTAGAGCTTATTTTTACTGAATTGCTATGCCCCGAAGTTAATTTCCTGCGCCATATGGGCGTTGAGTAAGCTCTTGAGGAGTATTACTACTCGGCTAGAGATCTCAGTTAGACGCAGCTCTAAAGCTGATTACGGAATAGGGAGAACAAGGGAATTCGTGAAAGAAGTAACTCGTTTGCATGTTTTTGTCCGTTATAGTTTTCATAGCCATTTTCAGGTCATCGATGAAATAAC